CCTTTCTTCCCCCCCAACCTGACGTCCTTCACCACTGTAGCAAACATAGTTGAGCATCTCCGCTTCCTCAACGCACGCTGGCGTGCGGCCTGTACTGAGGGTGCTGACTCTGGGGGTGCTAGTTCTGGGGGTGCTGGTTCTGGGGGTGCGAGTTCTGGGGGTGCTGGTTCTGTGGGTGGTGCGTCCGAGGGTGCTAGTCTTGGGGATGCTGTATATTGGAGTGCCGGTGGCAGACGCGATGTCGCTGGAGATCCTGGAGAGGACACGGAGCATCCCCAGCAGCAGTAGCAGCCGCAGCAGCAGACACAATCGCCGCCGTAGGAGCAGCCGCAGTCTTCCCTTCATCTCCTTGGTCTTGCTCAAGGTTCCCCTGTCTGCCCACCCATTCCCCCTCCGGTGCATAACCCTGTTTACGTCCCTCCTCCGGACTCCTCTCCGGCTCGTTTTCCCCCGCGCTCCCCTCCGTTCCCTGACTTGTCCCCCCCGTCATCCCCAGTCCCCAGTTCTTCCCCACTCAGTCCGCCGCCCCTCTGTGCTCGTCCTGTCTCTCCCTGTCATAGTGTCCACCCTATGGTCCTCCATTCTCATGCTTCTCCGGTCCCTGTGCTTCCGTTACCTCCTCCATCGTCGCTCCCGCAGTCTCCCCCCTCCTCGCTCTGACGTTGCTCGTACAGCTCGTCCTACCCTCTCGCGCTTGCTTGCGTAGCTTATCACTGACCCTAGTGCTCCTCCTAAGTCTGTCTGTGCGCTTGTCACTGCTGACGCTGACTTTGCTGCTAGCCACCGCCTTGATTACATTGCTGCTCTGGTCTCTGGTACTGCTCGTCCTCCGTCCTTCGGGGGTGCAGCTGCCCTTGGCAGCGACGTGCTAGAGGACAGGCACTACGAGTTGGCCTACCTTGCTGCCGCTATTCCCCATCTCTGCTCCATGCTTGTATCCTGAGAGGGCGACCCATACTCTCTCGACATCCCTGTTCCGCGCTCTTGGCGGTGTCAGGGCCCTGGGCAACCCAGTGGATACAGGCCATGGAGGCTGAGATGGCATCCTACAGATCCACGGGCACTTACGTCAACGATGTTTTCCCGCCTGGGGCGAATGTAGTCGAATGCATGTGGATCTACAGGGTGAAGTGCGCACATGGAGAGCCGCCGGAGTTCAAGGTGCATTATATGGCTAGAGGCTTCAGTCAGCGTGAGGGTGTGGACTTCTTCCAGACCTTCTTCCCGACCCCGAAGATTACTACTCTTCGGGTCCTTCTCCACATAGCTACGCAGCGTGACTACAAGCTTCACTCACTCGACTTCTCCAAAGCCTTCCTGCAGGGTAGTCTGCACGAGCAGATCTACCTCCGGCACCCACTAGGCTTCTCTGCGTCCTTCCCACCTAGGACCCAGTAGAGCCTGCGCCGCCCTGTCTACGGCCTTCGTCAGGCACGTCATGAGTGGTACGACACGCTTTGCACCACTCTTGCTGAGCTGCAGTTCTTTCTGTCCTCTGCTGACCCCTCTGTCTTTGTTCGCTCGGGTCAAACCCGGTTCTACATCCTAGTGTACGTAGACGATCTTATCTTTCCTACTCCTGACAGAGTCGCACTGGCTTCAATAAAGGCCGAGCTACTTAGGAGACACACCTGTACAGATTTAGGGGAGCTAAGGCACTATCTGAGATTGGATATCTCTCGTGACCGTACCGCTCGCACGATCACACTCTCCCAGTCCCATATGGTGCAGCAGACCCTCCAGAGGTTCGGTCTCCAGTTCTCCTCAACACAACCCACTCCTCTACCTGTGGATCACAAGCTCTCTTCTCCTGTTCCAGCTGAGCCGGTCGAGGCTAGTGGTCCATACGCAGAGCTTGTGGGGTGCCTCATGTACCAGTTGACCTGCACTCGACCAGATCTAGCGTACCCTCTCAGTCTCCTGGCTCGCTTTGTTGCGACATGCAGGCACCGACCAGTCCACTGGTCGGTTGCCAAGAGGGTACTGCGGTATCTGGCGAGTAGATCAGGACTGGGGTTTGCGCTAGGAGGACGGGAGCCAGTGGTGCTCACCGGACACACATACGTGTCGTGGGCTGACGACTTGGAGAGGCTCGGGTCGTCTCAGGGCTACTGTTTTAGTCTTGGTGCTGGTGCAGTCTCATGGAGGTCCACCAGGTTGTCGTCTGTAGCTCAGTCTAGCTGTGAGGCAGATATCTACGTTGGAGCTATGGCCGCTCAGGAGCTCCGCTGGCTGTCGTTCTTGCTCACAGACTTAGGTGAACAGCCTAGCTCTGCCGCGGTCCTGTTTGCTGACAACAGGGCCATGGGCCTCTTGTCTCAGGAGGCTCGACTTGAGGGTATGGCGAAGCACATCCAGCTGCCGTACCTCCTGCTGCGTAAGTTGCAGCAGCGCGGTCAAGTTCGTATGGTACAATTGGCCTCAGAATCCAACACCGCTGATACTGTATCTTCACCAAGGCACTTGCGCCTCGGGACCATCAGCGGTTCTGTACTCAGCTTGGTCTAGCCTCTGTAGCAGGACCGTTTCTTGTATCTTGAGCCATACTATACCTGCTTGTACTTGTTGCTCTGCTTGCCTTGACTGGCCTTGTGGCCTCTTGTCTAAGTGGCCAGACTAGTAGTGCTGCCCTGAGTTGTCCTGTTACCCTCACCAGAGTAGTACTGCCCTTGTGTACATTTCCTTGTTATGAACTGCCACTATCTAAGCTAGGGGGTGTGTCAACAAATATAATTTTAGTTTAGCTAGGTTATATTTGTATCTAGCCTAGTAGGTCAGTTCTTAGAGGGTACATCCCTACTCTTGTACCCCCCCCCTTTTTTTTTCTTTTTTTTGGGGGGCTTTAAGGAGATCCCAAGAGGAAACCAGGCCCGGTGAGCACTTTTCCTGAGTCATTAATTCTCTCTATAACCTAACAGTTGGAATTATGAGAGTATCTACACCTGCACCTGCATCAGCATCCCCCCCTACAGAGTCTCATTCCTTGGTGGAAGCAGAAGAGCTTCCACCTCTCACGAAGGGTTGCGGAAATCGCACCATAGATTGTCGTGGCAGACCTTGGACGTGGAATCAGTGAAGGGAAGGAGAAACACGCTGGATGAAGTGTTGATTTGCTTGGGAGGACGAGAAGAGCGGCATCTTCTCTCAAGCGCGTTGGAGATGATTATCACATCGTTGGAAAGAGCTCAATACGATCTACAACATTTGCCTTGAGGTCGTCGCCATGAGATAAGCGGATCGGGAGAAATTCAAGAAATTCGATCGGTGACAGAAAAGGCCATTGATATCACGTGTGTTTTCCGCCGGAAAACGGATCAGGAGGACAAGGTGGTAGAGCACAAGGTTCGCCTTGTTGCTGTTATACCCAAGAGCCTGACAAGGATTATGATCAGGTGTTTGCCCCTGTCGGCAAACTGGCTTAAGGTCGGGTGCTTCTTGCAGAAGCAGCGGTACGAGGTTAGCATGTACATCAGGAGGATGTCAACCATGCCTACTTGAATGCACCCCTGCGGGAGGAGGTCTATGTGAGGCAGCTGGAGGGTTTTGATGATGGTACAAGTAGGGTGTACCGCCAGTAAAAGGCCATTTATGGGCTCAAGCAATCACCTCATGCTTGGAACGAGGAGATTGGGGCCACACTGGTAGTTGCAGGGTTAAGTCGCAGTGCATGTGACGAGGCTCTGTACATCCGATTCGTGGATGAGGACCCTGTGTATGTGCTGGTGTATGTGGATAACCTTTTACTGGACTCTCCACGCTTGGACTTGATTGATCAGGCCAAGAAAACCCTTGCCGACAAATCCAGATGAAGGATCTCGGCGAGGTGTCTATGTACCTTGGTGTGGAGGTTCGCAGGTCGCGTTAGGGTGGGTGGCTCGAGGTTGGGCAGGAGAAGTATGTCCGTGGTCTTCAGGCTAGGTTTGGTGCTTTGTTGAGTGAGACTCACAAGGTGCATACCCCCATGTCCCCAAATGATCTTGCCAAGATCAGGAAAGGTACATGGTCTGCCGACACAGGTCAGCCTGCCGACATTGTGTCACGTAGGAACACGTCCTTAGCCGGATTTTTTTAGTTAGTTCGGGTGTGTGAGGAGCAGGGCCTAAGATATCAAGCTTAAAGCCCTGGTTTGCTTAATTTCAATGGCTGTTTTTTCTGTTGTCTATGATTTTCCTGTGTTTGCAAACTGCCCATTGAGACTTATTCTTGAACATCAGGTCCCTCACAAGCCTTTGTATCATTTGCATTAGCCAATGCCAAGATATGGCCTGGACCTGAAACCCAAATCAGCCTATAGGCTGCCAAAATGTCTCTGCCACCCGGGTGCGGGGAGGAGGGGAAGGGGGGGGGGGGGGAATGGGTCACTTCTTGGCAGGTGCATGCGGATTGCCCCCCCAACGAATTCTGATCTGCCCGGAGCCCCCTCGCAACACCACTTCTATAAATTCAGAAACACCGAGAACTCTACCCGTTCAAATTCTGGAACGAGCCCAGCGCCAACTTGAAACATGAGCCCTCCCCTACACCACATCCCTCCCTCCTTCCGTCATCGTTTTCCACCAAACCGTCAATCCGCGGAAGGGCTTGTCCCGTTCGTACATCTAATATGATATCCGACACGCTTTCGGTAGCCTGCGGTAATTTCACAACCAGTATTTTCACAGGGGTGCCGCCGAGAGGGTATTTACCCCTTGAAGCAGCTCCTGAAGACCAGATCCAAATACCCTTGGAAAACAAATTTAGCTTGGGTTTCTATATGAATAGTTTACTGCTCGATTAAGCGTTTCTCGAGTCAGGAAACCAGACGTCGGCTTAGGCAGTGCTCAAAGTTTCCGACCGCGGGGAATCCGCCGTGCTTAGACCGTAGGAACAAGGGAGTACTGTCTACGCACTCAGTGATGGTCAGGGTGGAAAAAACAATTATGCTGCCTCCCAATTTCAGGGTGGAAAATTACCGCATACCCGTATACCCGTAGCAGCCCTGCCCATAGTTTGAGCAGCGGGACGTTCCTAGGGGCTGGCACAGTTTTGAAAAGCGGCTCTTTGGCAGATGGTGAAGCGACCTGGCAATCGCAGCTGCTACGGTGGGGGGAAAAGATCCGTGGGCGTTGTGAGGCTCCTCGGAGAGCGACGAGTGCGACAAGTGCGACGAGTGCGATGAGCTCGTTTGAGCCCACCCTAGGCCGAACGAGTATGCGAATGGCCGGAGACGCGGAAACCCCGAGGGTAGCTGCTGGAGCGATGACCAAGGAGGGTTCGGTAGAATCGATTGACGATTTGAGCGTCGAATTGAGGAATGATTTGAGGGTCGAATCGAGGAACGATTTGAGGGTCGAATCGAGGGGCGAATCGCAAGCACCTCCAGCATCGAAGGCAGCGGGGAATGGCCCTCGGCGAAAGGAGTGGAATCGTCGCGAGGCCGTCGCAGGAGCCGTCGCAGGCATGACGACTGTCGTCATTCTCCACCCCCTTGACATCGTGCGAACGAGGTTCCAAGGTCCGTCAAGAGCCGACTCTCTTGACGCTTCGAGTCGACTCACTTCTTCAGCAGCGAATGATGCCAGGAACCCCTCACTCCCTCACTAACTTAGCAGTAATAATCCCGCCAGGACTTCCATCTCTACCTCCTCCCCCTTGCTCCCCCCCTCTCTCCCCCCCTTTCTCTCCCCCCCCTCTTCCCCCTCCCCTCCCCCCCCATGTAGTGAATGACGGCAGGGACCCCTGTCTGCCTCGCTACCGCAGCATCACCAGCGCCATCACCACCATTGCTAGATCCGAGGTAACAATTTGCAGCTGGTTCCTTAGAATTCTCAAAAACCGATCTGAGGTTGGGAATTTGAATGCCATGATGCCTTTTGCTCCTTGCATTACCTGTCCTGTCACCACCATTTCTAGGCCGGAGGTACGGTTTCTACAGCATGTGAATCATGCAACCACCAGCACTTTTATTCTTGAGAGGGTGGATTTTTTAAAGCACTGTCCTTTGTTGCGTCATCTATCATCAGCACCACCACCACCGCATTAAGATTAAGAGCATTCCCTGTATTTCCTCCTCCCCCTGTCTCCTCCCTCTCTCCCCCCCCTCTCTCTTCCCCCCCCCCCCCCCCCTCTCCTTGCCTCACCACCCACTCATTAGGGCATGCGAGGGCTGTACTCCTGCCTTTACCCTTCCACGATTGGCTCTATCGCACGTAACGATTGATTCCACTCCGTACACTCGACTCCTTCCCTCTCCCTCTCCCCCAAACCCACCCCCTCACCCTCCCCACTCATCAGGGCATACGAGGGCTGTATGCGGGCCTTTACCCTTCCATGGTTGGCTCAACACTCTCCTGGGCTCTCTACTTCTTCCTGTCAGTCCTTTCTCCTCTGCTGCTATTTTCCTGTGTCATCTCTCCCCTTTGCGTCTCCCTGTCAATTCTCCCCTCCCTTCCAAAAACTTGCCGCTATTCTCCTGGTGACGTGTTTGGGAGTTGTTGCTTTTCCAGTCAGTCCCTCCCTCCCGCTCTTCACCTTTACCTCTTGTTGTTTACCCCGCACTCCCTCTCTGCTCTTTCATCCTTCCTCATCAGTCCCCAACTGCTTCCTCCTCGCATATTCTCCCAACTGCCTTCCCCTCCACCTATTACTCTGCAGGTACAGCCACGCTAAGGAGCGTTACACTGTGTATTTCAGTGCTGTAACCAGCAGCGGTAACCGCAGCAGCAGCAGCAGCAGCAGCAGCAGCAGCAGCAGCAGCAGCAGCAGAGATGACAGCTGGAGTGCTTCCATGGGAAGGCATTCGAAACAGGACTGTGCCTCCACTGCCGCTACACCTGCTGTTTTTGGCCATGACTCCAAACAAGGGAGATCAAAGGAGGGCTCAATCCCTGGCGAAACAGCTGAAGGGTCTTCAAGACACAGGGCCTCGGGAGCGGAGCAGGGGAATGGAATTGGAGTAGGATCAGCAGAAAGGGAGCAAGGAAGTAGGGTTGGCTCGGGAGTGGCAGAGAGGGAGCACGGTTGTAGGATTGACTCAGAAGCGCATGCAGATGCTGCTGGCGAGGGAGTGCAAAGAGGTTTTCCTCCAAATGAGCGAGTAGTTACAGCAGGGGAGCCTGGAGGGAGGAGCACACTCAGCAGCGGCAATGGAGGGGGGGAAGCAGACGACATGAGCAGCAGCAGCCGCAGCAGCCGCAGTACCGCACAAGGCGGAAGCGACAGGAGCGGCAGCAGCCGCAGCACAGCAGTGGTGCATGTGGCTGCTGCCGCGGAGACTGGCATTCTGGTATGGGGTCAGTTTGCATGCCATGATGCATCTTGCCGCTCTCAAGTCTCTGTCTCTGTTTGCTGTGTGCTGTTCTATGCTTAGTTGCTACAAACGCTCTGGCAGACGCGCATTCATTTAGCGTTCGAACGCAAACGCTAAACGCACCCAAAAGCGCAAACGCTCGCAGGGAAAGTTCTCAGGCTGCCCCCTGGAAAAAAAAAAAAACAAACACGAATTCTTTTCTTGTGAAATTGAGAATTGGCGAATTCAGTGCGACATTTGTCAAGTCCCAACTCCTAACCATCTCGTCAATATTCACCTCCCAACCAACTCCCCCCCCTCAGCCGCACTCCACACATCGTCCACTAGAACTACCAACCCCTCCTCCTCACATCTCGTAGTTCCGCGCAAATTCCCAATTCTCTCCCCCGGTCAAACCCGCTGCTGCTACAGCGTCCGCAGTTTCAAATGTGTACGAGGCGGATAGAAATCACGAAATGCTTGTTGGCAGAACCCCCATGTTCCTCCCCTCCCCCACTGGAATTTTTTACCCCTGCCCGTGTAAATTTTTTATCCCTGCCGAGGCAAGCAATTGCCTAGCGTTCATGTATACTCTGCAGAGCGTTTTAGCGTTCAAACGCGAGCTTTTCAACGCTAAATGCGTTTGTAGCAACGTTCTATGCAATCCCAAACTTCCATGCTTCGCCCTCTTCGCCCTCTTTGCCCTCTTCGCCCTCTTCGTGACAGGTGGTCCTCCTCACCAACCCCATCTGGCTGGCCAAGATGCAACTGCAGCTGCAGAGAGCATTGGACCCCAAGAATGCCCAACGTAGACTTGAGCCTCCACGGGAACATACCCCCCTGCCTTCCCTCTTCCCACCCATGCCAGGTGGTCCTCCTCACCAACCCCATCTGGCTGGCCAAGACGCGACTGCAGCTGCAGGGGGGTTTGGACCCCAAGAGCGCACAGCATAGACCACCGGCCGAGACACCACCACCATTACGAGGTCCAAATGGGACACAGCCATCCATACCACTGGCTGCATCGAGGCCGTCAGCAGCACTGGGGTTGTCAGCTGCACCCCATCATCACCCACGACAGTACCGAGGCTTTCATGGTGCTTCATGGTGACACGCCCCCCTTCCTTCTCTCGTGGATCCGCCCCCTTTTCCACCCCCTCCTATCTCTATCACTCCCTCGAGCGGTCCTTGTATTCCTGAAAACGTGGGTACATACGAGGCATGCATAGAGAGCACAAGATGAGTACGAAAACGTGGGTACATACGAGGCATGCATGGACGAGCAGATTTGTGGGTGGCTGCTGCAGCACGGTGCTCTGTAGGCTTTGGGTTTGGGGTCGCGAGGAGGCCAAGGGGTGTGAGAGTTGGGAGGAGGGGGAGGGGTATTGCTGCGCCGGCTGATGATGGGTGGGCGGAGGAACGGTTGGTGTTGCAGGAGCTGCACTGTGCCGAGGAGGATGGGGGACCTGAGCAGTATGCGGATTGTTTTACAGTTAGAAGGGCTGGGTATCTGGCTAAAATAGTTCATCACCCTAGCACGTCATTTGCATCCTCCTCGGCCTAGTGCAACTCCTGGAAGACCAACCGTTCCTCCGCCCACCCATCATCAGCCGGCGCAGCGATACCCCTCCCCCTCCTCCCGACCCTCACATCCCTCGGCCTCCTCGCGACCCCCAAGCCCACGTCCCACAGAGCATCGTGCTGCAGCAGCCACCCGGGAATCACTCACTTGCTCGTCTCCTCTCTCTCTCCGGAGCCTCAAAAATCTTCTCCTCCCTCTTCTGCTTCTCTGTCTTCACTCCCTGTGTGAACTCCTTCTTCAACTTCTCCCATTGTGCTGCTCTGCTGTGTACAGATCTGTCCTTAGCGCTCACTCACCTCCCTCCCATGGTTGTTTCGCTCCTGCCGCCCTCTTTGTAGCATGCCCTTGTGTTTGTGCTTCTCCATCCACACAACCTCTTAAGCTTAGCTTTTCCGCTCTTTTGCCGTCTGCAATGGGGTAAGGGGTCAAAAGTTAGAATTCTCTTCCCCCCTCTCTCCCTCCCTCTCGCTCTGCACCCTTGTGAAGGCAAAGGGTGTGCGAGGGCTGTACAGAGGCATAGGGCCTATCTTCCTCCTTCCTTTCTAAAATTCTCGCTCTCTCCCCTATCTTTCTCCCCCTCCCTCCCTCTCTCTCTGCAGACGCCCTCTGCTCTATTGTCAAGGAGGAGGGTGTGGGAGGACTAAAGAGAGGCATATGGCCTACTCTCCTCCTTCCTTTCCAAAACCTTTCCCTCCCTCTTGCTATCTCTCCCCCCCTATCTTTCTCCCCCTCACTCTCCAGACACCATCTGCTCCATTGTCGAGGAGGAGGGTGTGAGAGGACTAAACGGAGGCATAGGGCCCTCTTTCCTCCTCTCCTTCCAGAAGTTTCCCTCTCTCCCCCTATCTCTCTCCCCCTCTCTCTCTCCCTATCTCTCCCCCCCTCTCTCTCTCCCTATCTCTCTCCCCCTCTCTCTCTCCCTATCTCTCTCCCCCTCTCTCTCCCCCTATCTCTCTCCCCCTCTCTCTCCCCCTTTCTCTCTCCCCCTCTCTCTCCCCCTATCTCTCTCCCCCTCTCTCTCCCCCTCTCTCTCTCCCTATCTCTCTCCCCCTCTCTCACCCCCTATCTCTCTCCCCCTCTCTCTCCCCCTATCTCTCTCCCCCTCTCTCTCCCCCTTTCTCTCTCCCCCTCTCTCTCCCCCTATCTCTCTCCCCTCTTTCTCCCCCTATCTCTCTCCCCCTCTCTCTCCCCCTATCCCTATCCCCTCCAGACGCCATCTGGTCCATTGTCAAGGAGGAGGGTGTGAGAGGACTGTACAGAGGCATAGGACCGAGCCTTTTCTTGGTAAGGCGTAGGACCGAGCCTTTTCTTGGTAAGGCATAGGACCGAGCCTGATCCCAGTAGGCCTTTCAGCCTTGTAACTCCTTTCGGCCTTTCGGCCTTTTGGCCTCTTCACTATCTCAGCTTTGGAGGTGATGACAACTACAGTTGTGATGACAACTGCTTTGTAGATAGACACAGAATCAGTTGTTGGTGATTTTGATTCGTGAGAGCAGCGTGATTTGTGAGAGCAGCGTGATTCGTGAGAGCAGCGTGATTCGTGAGAGCAGCGTGGTTCGTGAGAGTAGTGTGATTCGTGAGAGCAGCGTGATTCGTGAGAGCAGCGTGATTCGTGAGCACCGTTTGACGCTCATCGCGCGACTACCTCAACGCGCTTTCTGTGCCCCTTCCTTCCCCTCGCTACCCCTTTACAACCCGCTGCACCCCTCACAGGTGTCGAACGGGGTCATTCAGATGGCGGCCTATGAGGAGCTCAAGCAGTTGATGCTGGCCTTGGCAATCCCTCTCAACCATCAGTACCCGTCTGTACCGCTCTGTCCCTCTCTGTACTGCATGGCGCCTCTCACAGGTGTCGCACGGGGCCATTCAGATGGCGGCCTATGAGGAGCTGAAGCACTTGATGCTGGCCCTACGGAGCTCCACGCCGTGGCATGCACATGCACACCCGCCCTCTCCACCACACGCTGCTTCCCACCCCTCCTCCTCCTCCACGTATCCTGCTCTTCCTGCTGTACCAGACCTGGTAAATACATGATGGACATTTTGCTACCAATTAAATGCTTTCGAGTCGACTGAAAAACTCCCTGCTGTACCAGACCTGGTAAACGCGTTAAGCTTTTTGGTATTCAACGTGTGCTAATAGCCCTCACCGTGCCTTAGAAGGTTGAATCTTCTTTTGTCTGCTAAATCCTCTCCCACGTTTTTCCCAGTCCTGTTTATCCCTTAATTTTCTCACCCCACATCCTCCCTCTTCGGCAAGTCCTTCTGCAGGATTGCAACGAGGTGGCTTTTGAGTCAGCTCAAAATTCCTTATGCCGGATTGCAGCAGTGAGAGCAGCTTCCACTTGGGCCACCTCAGAAACACGCCCTTCCTCCTTACTCTACCCACCAGTCCCCGTGGGACTTTGCAGCAGTGGGAGCAGCTGCCAAACTCTGTGCTACTTTTTGAGGCACGTCAGCGAAGAAACCCCCCCTGCCCCCACCTCCACCTCCCTGCCCCACCTCCACCTCCCTGCACCCTTCTCTTCACCCCTCTTCCCCCCCAGTCCCCATGGGACATTGCAGCTGTGGGAGCAGCTGCCAAGCTCTGTGCTGCCTCTGCCACGTACCCCTACCAGGTGAGCAACCAGTTGATTTCCTGATCCACCCTTATCGGGATACTTGCTTGTTAGGTCTTTGATCACCTTTATCACTTGCCTATTTCTATGTGATTTGGTTCACTCTCTCTTGTTTCCTGGCTCTCTCTTGTTTCCTGGCTCTCTCTTGTTTCCTGGCTCTCTCTTGTTTCCTGACTCTCTCTTGTTTCCTGGCTCTCTCTTGTTTCCTGGCTCACCGTTTACCGCCGTGTCCTCCTGTTGTTCTCTCCTTTCCCCTCCTTGCATCAGGTCATCCGATCGCGCCTGCAGGTAATCTCAATCTCTCTGCTTCCTGTATTTGCCGTCCGTGCCTCCCTTCTTCCTCTCACTCCCCTCTCATTCCCCTCTCTCCACACTCTGTACCCCTTATCCGTCTCTCCCCTCGTTCGCCTCTCAACAATCCCTGCTAACTGTTTCACACCTAAAGACCCCTCTTTCGTCTTTTTCCAGTCAAGAATGCCTGTATTTTTCGAGGTAATCTATCCCCTGCCTCTATTGCTAGATATTGTCGTCAATCTCTAGCATGTGTCCATCCATTTTCAGTATCAGTATCCATGCTGCCATAAGCCTTGTTTTGTTTCCATCGCGGACCTTGTTGCCTGCATCCCTTTTGTCTGACTATGCGATCCCTTGTCTGACTATGCGATCCCTTGTCTGACTATGCGATCCCTTGTCATGACCTTGTCTTATGCTGTTCAATGTTCAATCCTGCTCGTCTGGTGCCTCTCCCCCCATTGCTGTTTTTGCCGGCAGATGCGTCCGAACGAGGCCGGCCAGCTCAAGTACCGCAACACATGGCATGCTGTCACCAGCATGTGGCGGTGAGTGGTCGGTATTGTGACAAGTGCAGGCGCAAACTGCATGTGCAAGGACAGGCATTCGGTAGTTTAGTGGGGAGGGAGTAGGGGTCATGGGGGATGGGGAGTGGGGGGGAAGAGCAATGTCAATGACAGTGCATGGCAGTGCAGGCACAAAATCCATGTCAATGACAGTGCATGGCAGTGCAGGCGCAAACTCCATGTCAACAACAGTGCATGGCAGTGCAGGCGCAAACTCCATGTCAACGACAGTGCATGGCAGTGCAGGCGTAAACTCCATGTCAACGACAGTGCATGGCAGTGCAGGCGCAAACTCCATGTCAAGGACAGTGCGTAGCATGCATGTTACAAACACTGCATACTCGTGCCCAGATCTGAGGCACCTCAAACACTCTGCTATCTTTCCCCGCCTCCTCTCCACAAATTGTCTCTCCAGGCTCGATGGTGCCGGTGGCTTCTAAAAGTGCTTTCTGCCCAACCTGCTGCGAGTCATGCCCTCTTCTGAGACACTTTAACCACTCTGAACCACTCTGTCAAACGCTCTTCCCTCTCTTCCCTCCTCTCCCCGTTCGTATCTCTCCAGGCTGGAGGGTGCCCGCGGCTTCTAAAAGTGCTTGCTGCCCAACCTGCTGCGAGTCATGCCCTCTTCTGAGACACTTTATCCACTCTGAACCACTCTGTCAAACGCTCTTCCCTCTCTTCCCTCCTCTCCCCATTCGTATCTCTCCAGGCTGGAGGGTGCCCGTGGCTTCTACAAGGGCTTTCTGCCCAACCTGCTGCGAGTCATGCCCGCTGCCTCCATCACCTTCGCTGTCTACGAAGTCACACTGCGATTCCTCAAACCACGTCCTTTCGCTTCTCAACAAGGCTCCTCTTGAGTTGCTTCCTCACATCACGCTACAAGACAAGAGAGCGATGCCGTCTGCTTCCATCACCTACACCATCCATGAAGTCATGCTGGATTTCTCAAGCCACAGCCCCACTCTTGCCCACAAGGCTTTTGAACCGTCTCAAGATTTCGTGCCATCTGCTTCCATCTCCTTTGCCATCTGCTTCCATCTCCTTTGCCATCTATGGAGTGACGCCGTGATTCCTCTTTCCACGCCGCCTTGCTCCACCACAAGTAACGGCATGCTAGTGAAAGCTTGGCAAGCTAGTGCAGATGCAGCATGCACCCGCGAAGAGTGTACGAATGTGAATCTGTTCACCGTATCTAGACTCTTGATTGCATGCTGTTTGCTTCCCCAGTAAAAAGGCACATTGCCAAGTCTTGACTCCTGCTGCACGAGTTCTCTTGGGCCAGAAGCTTTCACAGTCACAACCAGGTGTGTAGAGCGGAGCATCCTTCAAGATGGATGAAATGTAGCGCTAGGTGAAAGAAGTTCTTGTTCATAGCAGCAGGTGCACGCCTTGTAACGGAACCGTTACACTGACAATCGTTTGCTCACTTCACCAGATATCTGCTGCAATGGGATGCACTCGCCTCACCCCACCGCACCAGACCGCACAGGCTGAGCTGCTGATTGCTCTGTTGAGGGGAGCGAAAACCAGAATTTAGGTTGACCAGGCTCAGGGTTCTGGTCTGGACTGAAATCCAGGTACCAATAGTAGCTTTGCCTCACTCTAACAACTCTACAATATAAGCCCCTTGGTCTGCACCGTCGTATACCTTACTTTGATTAAGTCCGCACCCCTCAGTCCATCTCAGAAGGCGTAGGACGGCATAGCATTGGCCAGCCAAACCATACCCTCCCTGACAGCTATCATGGGTTCGTCAGCCATTTCGCTCGAAAGCGCCGCCAGCCGAAGCGTTCTAAAAGCAGCGGCATTGCCGCACGCAATGTCCCAACCTCCACGTACCCGACGACCTTCGCAACGCGGCGGCGTTGTCTGCTGTAGCGCTTCCGACAGCCAAGCTGCCAGCGCGAGACAGAGTGAGCCATCTCCCCCGTTTCGCTTCCGACAGCCTGCTGACCATCTCAGCGTCAGTTTAGCCTCTTCTCCTCCGCCGTTTCCTTATTCCCTGTTTAACTTTTACATCCTGTCTGGTGGTCTCAAGCACCTCTTCGATTTTCCACGTTCGAGTGGCTGCCGCTCTGTCGTCCGATCCCCTTCTGATCCCCTCGCTTCTCAAACACTCCATCTCTTCGCATTCCTCCTCCTCTCCCCGATCCCTCCATCCGTCTCGCAGCTGTCAAATTTCGACCGTGCATTGACATTCATAAGGTAAGCTTGTGGCATTGACGTCCATAAAGTCAGAATATGGCATTGGCGTTCCAAGCGAGCATCGCGCAAGAGCCATGCAGAAACGGATCATGAGCGTGCTAACGTGGCGGGAATGAATGTCATCTTATCCAGTGCCATGTCATGCAATGCCATCCAATTTCATGTCATACATGTAACATGTCATCCAATCCTCCTGGGATCTCCTTAAAGCCCAAAAAAAAAGAAAATGTCATCCAATCTCGTGTCATGCATACGACATGTCATCCAATGCCTTGTTATGCAATGTTGCCATCCTAGCGATGCTATGCAGTGTTATTCAATTCAGCCCAGCAACAAGTCTACAATAGCAAGCATGCAATTCAAAGGAGCACAGAAATCAAAGATTGTCATGCTGGTGCTCCTCTTAATCTCCTTTGAAGCATTCTTCCCCAATAGTGCAAGGTGAAGCACACTCAAAAAATCTTTTTTATTCCCATTCAACGTATCCAGGGCAAGGTGAAGCAAATAGTCGGCTCTACACTCCGTGACCTGCCCTCCCAAGACACACCAGCCACCTCCTCCTCCTCCTCTTCACCATCTGAGCCCGTGACCAACTTCGAGTCGGATCGCAGTGCAGCAGAGTATGCCAGCATGTACGCCGCTGATTCGCTGCCAGGAGGCCACGTCATCATGCTGGGGGCCGATTCTGCCAGTCAGGAGGCAGCTCTAGGGGCGCTGAATGCCTTCCCAGGTACCACCACGTGGACATGCACCAGGTACCTGGTGCATATAAGGCGACTCATGTTCAGTCTCTATTCAGGACAGAAGCTTTAGGGGAGTTGAACAACCTCCCAGGTACCAGATGGATCATGGATCACGGACTGACATGGTCGTTGTGCTGCTGCTTACTCCAACTTCCTCCTTCCCCTAAAGCAAAAGCCTCGTTTTTGCCTCCCAAGTCTCTCTCTGACGTCTGAAATCACATTTCTCCTGCCTCTGGTCCTTACTCCTGCATCCTTTCCTCAAACCTCCAAACCCCTTGCTTCCAAACCTCTTGCTTCCAAACCCCTGCCCTTCACGTGCCCAGGCGGGCTGCATGTTGGGGGCGGCATTACGCCAGAGAATGCGGGGCTCTACCTGGACGCAGGGGCCAGCCATGTCATCGTCACATCAGTACGTTGACAGTATTCCAGTTTTCCGTGCCCGCATCGCATAGCAGAGAATGTGCCGGGCTCTACCTGGATGCAGGGGGCAACTCGATCTCTCACATCTCCCCGACCTCTCCTCTACCCCGTTTGCCCATCTAATCCCACCCTATCCTGCCTGACTGCCCGCCCGCCAGTACGTGTTCCGGGAGGGTGCGGTGGACGAGGACCGGCTTCGCAGAATGGTGGAAGCAGTGGCGCCAGAGCGACTGGTGCTCGACCTGAGCTGCAGGAAGAAGGTAGGGAAGTGATTGGTGCTGGACCCTGTCACCCTCCCCCCCTCCACCGCCCTCCTTACTCTATCACTTACTTCCACACACTGGCAGCTCGTGGTCCTCCCCCTGTTGGCTCACTGTCGCCCTCTTTCTCACTCTCTCAACGCACATACGCCCACTGCTATGCGCTTCTGACCACCGCCAATGCCAACAGGTCATTGCACTTGCCTCCCTCTCTTCCCGTCCCCCTCTCAAACTCTAAACTTAACCCTAAGGGCGTGGATCTTACAGTTCCGGAACCCGGCAAGTTCTGGAACTTGGGCTGGTTACACGTTTCGCAGCAAAATCCGATGGGGGTTTAAAAAAAAATCTCCGGGCAAAACCTTCACCGATTCGAGAACTAGTTGCGAAACTTCAAGGAGCAGAACTGTAAGGTCCACGCCCTAAAACCTTAACTGCCCCCCTTTCCCTCCCCTCGCCGATGCATGTATGCACCCACACTACAGGGCGACCACTACTATGTGGTAACAGACGGCTGGCAGCACTTTACATCACTGATGGCTCTCTCTCCCTCTCTCCCCCCCTCTTGACACATCGCCACCCCCACCCCAACCTCAGGGTGACCACTACTACGTGGTAACCGACTGCTGGCAGCGCTTCACGTCGCTCATGCTCCCTCTCCACACACACACCCTCTGACGCCCCAACCTCAGGGCGACCACTACTACGTGGTGACGGACCGCTGGCAGCGCTTCACATCGCTGGTGGTGGACGGGGAATCGCTGGGGCGGCTGGCAGACTGCTGCGATGAGTTCCTCGTGCACGGGGTGGACGTGGAGGGCATGAAGTGAGAGGGGGGTTTTGGTGTTTAGTGCGTGACAGGGATGACGTGGCTTTAAATAGTGTCAGAACGTACTGGTTCCATTATCCATATTTTCCCATTTTGCCTGGTGTTTTTTAGAATGTCTCTCTACCCTGCATTGTCCTCGTTTTTCCTGGGCAGGCTGGGCATCGATGAGGAGCTCGTTTCTCTGCTTGGGAAATATTCACCGGTAAGCCAAAGCGCCCAACACAAGGCTGATGTTTCCTTTCCCATGGCCACTGCTGATTTCTATTGGGCGTCATATCAAACTCTCTATTGGGTGTCATTTTCTCCTCTCGGCCTTTTATCTCAGATTCCTGTGACCTATGCTGGAGGAGTTCGCTCTCTTGCGGATCTGGAAATTGTGAAGGCAGCTGGGAGGGGAGCGGTGGATGTGACAGTAGGAAGTGCCCTCGATATTTTTGGAGGGGACCTGCCATACAGAGAAGTTGTGGAGTGGCATAGAAGCCAGCTGTAGATCTAGAAAGCAATCTACGGTGTTTGCATTACTTTCCTCCGTGTTAGACCCACCACCATATGTTTTGCGGGTCAGATTATTGGTTTGACTTTTTAAGCATGCCTCAGTTGCTGAAATTATTGTAGTCTCCTTACATGGTTCCAACTGACACTCGCAGTATCAGGGACGAATGTGTCTGCTTCGCGCCATTCGTCAACGGAACAGTCGCGTCACAGAAGATTTGGCGCAAAGCTAGTCAGCCCAACCCCGTTTTGAATGCTGCCATACGTCGATGAGATGAATCGCGCCATTTGCAGCTTCCAGACTGTATCCGTTATAAGAACACTGGGAAATTCGTCACGCCTGATCCATCCATCACCCATGCATTCGCCCGTGCTGGACCTCCCCTCCAGCAATGCTCTGGCGTCTATTGGCAAGTGAAGCCTCTCTCTGGCCCGCATGGCGGCCAACATCGAATGATCCAGCTCGCATGATCCAACATCGAAGCCGTGCCGTGGATAGCCATCCTTCCTGATGCTAAAACGGTGGAGCCCATGAGTGGTATGGTGCCTACTTCCAAAAGAGGGTTTGTTGGCAACGGCTCAAGGCTGAAAACGTCCGGAAAACATTTATAAGAGCGCCAGTTCTCTCCGCTTCCTGCGTCCTCGTCCCCGTAACTGTCAGTTGCTCCCGTAAACCCGCTGAAATAGTTCAGTGAGCAAAAACTCGTTCTTATTCACGTGTCGCCACTATCGGCTCCCAGCTGAGCATCGCGCTAGCCTTTGCTCTTAGCATCTTTCGAGCAACGATATCTCAGTAAGAGGCCAGCGTGAATCGCGCGGCAGCGATGCCACTCCCTCCTTCGTCGCGTGTCGTAGCGCCACACCCAATGGAGTCGATCGACGCGGCAGGGGAACTGAAAGGATGCGGCAGCAGCAGCAAAGATTGCGAGAGGTTTCCTCCAATCTTCGGTACAGTCACACCCGATTTTACCACGAGCCACGAACAACCCCGTTCGCTCGTGTTTCTTGTGCGCACGTGCGGCGGCAAGGCGAGCAGCGATAGCTCCAGCGATAGCGATAGCGGTAGCGACGGCACTCACAGCAATAGCGGCAGGGACGGAAGTCGCGACGACGGCGACAGTCGGCTAGGAGGCGCTGGGGAATGCGAGAGCGAGAGCGAGTGCGAGGGGTTGGAGGCGATGGTTTCGGACTTCTGCGGCAGTTCGTGGCGCGCGCAGCTGTCGCGAGACGACCTGGAGGACGAGGTGAGAGGCGGCCAGGAGAACGGTTGAGAGCGGTGCTAGTAAGGAGTGCGAGTGCGAGGAGTGGTCGAATCCAACGTTCCCGGATGGAGCACATTTCGAAAGTATTTTTGAGGCGCCTCAAAAATAGACTCCTCACGCAACGTTCCCGGATGGAGCACATCTCGAAACGTCACCGAGGTAGCTCGTATAGCTCTAGAATGGTGGTACAGTGAGCTTTTGCGCCGCGCCCAGGTTTCCCCAGAGATGGGATGGTGCTTTTTTAAGTCGTGGCCGATCTGTCCGTCCTCATTGCTCGTTTTTTCAAGGAACGAGAGGCAGCTCAGGGGTGAGTCGTCACCTTTGCGATGTCCTCCTGTCTGTTTCGTCCCTTGATGTCATCTTCTTCACGCCCCTCATTTCACGGCCCTAATTTCACGCCCATGTTTTCTTCACGGCCCTAACTTCGTCGGTCGTACAGACGGACGATCTCGGGATAAACAAGACCTTCGCGGCGCTCCTCGCGTTTTGAGGCTTTCAAAGTCTCACAGGCCAAACTCCCCTGACTCCACTCTCGTAACATCACGCCGAGCTTCACGCAGAGCTTCACACTTCCTAACTGCGCACTGTGGCTTCGTCGCCTATGCAGAAGGACGATCTCGGGATAAACAAGACCTTCGCGGCGTTCCTCGCATGGATCCACGAAACGCTCTCGTCACGCCTCGTTACTGTCACACCCACGCTCGCTAAAGCGCGTGCCACTCAAGGTAGCGCTTCTGTGGCCTCACCCGAAACAGTTCTCAGGAATACGCGATTATAGCAGCATCGCTTTCGTGTTTGACCAGTGGTCCGCCTCTGTGATTTCTTTCTCATAGCCCTCTTGTAAAGTTTGAGGGGAAGGAAGAGCCGGCGGCATGCTCTTGCGGGCTACGTTTTCACGTCGTATTGCGTCAACCCGTGCTGTGACGTCGAGCTGTCCGATATCCGTTTACTCAGATCCCAACGACCGCTCCTCCTGCTCATACCTTCTGGTTCTGTTGCCCGTAGAATGGAAACCTTTTTTCTCTCCTGCCCGTGCCTTTAGGTTCTGTTGCCCGTAAAATAGATACCTTTTTCCTTTCCTGCCCATGCTTTGTGTCTCTGCCCGTCTGTCCATCTTCCCGCGCCCTCTCCCATTGCAGTACCGCAGCCCGCCGCTCATCCCCTCGATACAATCACACTGATGGGCCAAAAGGTCAAAGGCGCCCCGCGCTTCAGCCTGCAGCTGAAGCGAGTCGAGTGGCCTGGAAGGGCGGATGGAAGGGGGAGCGGCGGAGGGGGCGCGGATGGCAGGGGGAGCGGAGGAGGGGCGGGGGACTGGGGAACGAAGGAAGGAGGAGAGGGAGATGTGGCGCTGCCCTTGATGTCAGAATCGCACTCGTTGCAGTCACACCCATTAGCAGCACCCAAGGCAGCGCCCGTTTTGCCTTCATCATTGTCCAAAGCTTGCGAATCCGTGGCTGCGGAAATCGCATTCGCACTGATGAGGGACCGACGCGCTCTTGTGAAGAAGCTGATAAGGGGTGAGTCACAGGGGGGAGGGGGAGTGCATGTGTCTCGAAAATGGAGGGGCCATGGGCGCGGTGAGTTGGGACCCTGTCCGCTTGACATGAAAGGTGCTTGTGAGATGGTGGGGAAAGGAGGAGGAGGGATGAGGGAAACGTCACTGAGATGGCGTGTTTTTTGTTTCCAGGGTTGCTGTCGTGAAGGGTTCTTTCTTCCCTCCAACTCGTCTAACTCAGCCGAATTTTCTTCCCTTTTCTTCTCTCGTCTCCCCTCCTTGCCTCCTCACACACCCTCCCCCCCCCCCCCCCCCCCCCTCCTCCCTCCTCCTTGTCTCCTCCCTCCCTCCCTACATTCTCCCCAACGCTTTTCTCCATCCCACACTCAGAGCGCGCCAAGCACGAGAGGCACTTGCAGGAGGTGGAAGAAGAGAGGGTAAGCATGGGGGGAGATGCTTTCTTGCTTTCTTGCTGTAGGTGCATTCTGAGATTCTTGAAATTGGCAATTCCAGTTCTACGTCGCCTGTGTTATGGTCCTTGTGAACTAGGCACGAGCAAGAGCTACGCTCAGGCCGGGCTGGCTGGCCGGCTGGGGCTGGGCTAGTCACCACCCCGCCCCGAGGCCCGTGGGTAGAGGACGGGTCAGGCCCAGCAGCCCTCGGGCCCGTGGCATTACACCCGGCAATCCGCGCGGATCTGGCGTTTTGCTGCCCTGTCTGTGCCGATTGTGGCGTTTTGCTCGCCGACTCGCGGATCTGGCATTTCACCCATCGATCCGGTTTCCGGCACCTGATCTGTGCGGATCTTGCATTCAGGAAGGAGGCAAAAGTTTCAACTTTTTGGTCGTTAACTTTTACTTCTGTGGCACCGACGGGCTGCGCCTCAGCCCGTCACGTGCCATTTGGTCCACCGGCCCGCGTCGGCCCGTTGTCGAAAACGACAACGCAGCTGTTGGGCGTCGGGCCGGCCCAACTACGGCCCGTCCCTTCAACTGTACCTTAGATATCCAACAATCGAGTCCGACACAACCATTTGTTGTCTGTAATAAGTACCGGAAATGTGACGGAGAGTTTCCAATTTCTCTGAGGAGCGCGCGCTGCGGGAAGTCGTCTCTTCTCACCACCTCCTCCGATCCCGTCCCAACGAGTCGCTCTCCCATCAGAAACTCCGTACCGCCATGCCTACATCAAGCTCTCCTGCTGTTCACCTCAAAATTCTCCCTCATTCTCCCAATTCGCAGTATGCATTCTGTTTCAGCTCCGCAACGTTACTGCTACCACCGGTGGAGGTTTTCAGAAGGTTGAGCTTAGGTTGAGCCAAGCAACGTAATCCCGTATCCGCTGGCGTCCTGATGGCGATGGACCCAATCACAGCAAGTACTGGGCCCAACGCCATCGGGACGCCAGCGAATACTCGGCCACGCTGCTTGGCTCAACGTAAGTTCAACCTAAGGTGAAAAGCTTGACCTGTGGTAGAAGAGGTGTTGCGACGCTGAAACAGGAAAGCATGCCATGTGAATGAAAGAAAAGAGGAGCATGGATCACACGGGAACAGGAAAGCAGAAAGAAAAAAAAAATGGAGGGGAGAATATGGCAAAGGGGTGATTAGAAAGCAGAACTATGATGGCTAGTTGTGATATAGTTGTTTTCATCTCCTGTCCGTCTTGTTCGGAAAGTGCGCAAGAGGAAATTTGATTATCTCTGTTTGTGCCTGTATCTTCCTCTTCATGTTCGCTTTTGAGTTGACTCAGAAGCGGAATTCGCCCCTCCAAGTCCCTTGTCACCACATGTTCACTCATTCCTTCCAACCAAGCGATAATACTCGACTATGGCCCTTTCGGTCAACTTCCGCCCCCACCCCACACCCACCCCCACACAACCCCCACACCCCCCACCCCACACCCCCACACCCACCCCCCCCTCCCTTTCTTCCCCTCTCCTCACACCCCCTTCCCCACTTCAATCCCCACCCCTCCCCCGCCCCCCCCGGCCCCAATTGTCACCACTGTTTCCCCACTTTCTTTCATGCCACAGTGTGCAGCCACGGCCCTCCAGGGGCTTCACCCTCTCTTCCTCACCCCCTCACATCCCTGTCCCACTTCCCCTTCCCACTTCGTCTTTCTCTTGTGCAATGAGCAGGCAACAGTGCGCAGTTACGGTCCCCTAGGTCCCCCCAAGTCCAAGCGGGCCCGCTCGCGATCTGCCTCGCGAATGACAAGCAGCCACGTGGCGCCTGCTCCGCCCCGTTCCCTATCACACTCACAGTCGCTGTCACGCTCGCAAGGCCATGCAGCTTCCCAGAAGCATCCTCCAGTAACATCAGGTTTAGCATCAGCATCAGAATCAGCATTAGCATCAGCACGGAATACAGCAGGCACGGTTATTGCTCGTTTGGGGAGTAGCCAAAGGGAACAGGCACAGCAGCCAGAGTCAACCTCACAGGAGCCCCCTTTAATGTCACAGGAACCCCCGTTATTGTCACATGGTGTGTCCCAGGGGTGGCTGCTGGAGTCACAGGGCACAACGGAGGATGCAGCACAGACCCCGGATTCACAATCACACTGGTTATTATCACAGTCAGACTCTCAGTCACAGGCGTTTCTGTCCCAGTCTGGAACCGGCATTCCACACGCCACCAGCAGATCAGGAAGAGGTGTTGGGGGGACAGGAACAGCAGGAGGTGCGGTGGGAGCAGGGGGGGGAGCAGGAGGAGATGGTATGTTGGGAGATGGGGGGAGAGTGGCAGAATTGGGGAGAAGGGAGGCAACGGCTGGGGGTGGACTGGTGCCAGCAAGCATTGTAGCAGGGGGGTCAGCGGGAGGGGCAGCAGGGGCAGCAGGGGAGTCAATGGCAAGAGGCAGTGCTTCGTTGCAAAGGCGACAGCAGCAAAGACGGCAGCCCGTGCCGTTCTCTAGAAGGTATGGTGCCGGGTGATGGGTGGTGACATTTGACGTATGCAGTGTCTGGTCGTGCATCTTGTATTCCCGCGTACCTTCATTCTACAACATTTGTGCAATTTGGCAAACTTTTTGCAGGGTAAAGAAGAGGGTATTGGGCACGAAACTAACAACAGATGGCGATGATGATGACGATAATGATGAAGACGCCATTTGATTGGATGCAGCCGTTTCACCCGTACGGCAACTATTGTAAGCTCTTGTGTACATATTGCTTTTTCCGACAAGGCTCTCACGGCAATGTGAACTGGCTAGGAGTTTTCATTTTTTCTTCTGAGCCTTGCATCATAGACAAGCATGTGTTTTGGTGGATTGTATTATTGATCCAAGTAGTAAGAGTTGGAGCAAATGCCATAAGAATTAGGTGTTCCAAAGTAATGGGTGTCGCATCAACGAGTGTTATCATACAGAACCAAATTGTTCGTGTGTGGGAAACACGGTGGCGAAGATTTCAGTTTGAATGGTGATGCTAGTCCACCTCCACGGTCTAGTCTTCAAATGATAATCTTCGTCGTCCAATATTCTAGACCCTAACATTGCGTTATCGGGGACACGCCTTGCTCTGGACCGTTTAGACCGCCGAAACAGTCCCCCTACTACCCGGGAAGAATATATTTCCCTCGGCGTGCGCTCACGCGGCCAGCAAACGGGTCGCAGTAAGAGATATCTCCAAGACGCGCCTTGCTCTGGACCTTCTAGACTGCCGAAAAGGACCCCCTACTAATTGGGGAAATTTGTATTTCCCTCGGCGTGCGCCCACGCGGCCAGCAGCGGTCAAAGTAAGCGATATCTCCATGGCGCGTGTCACAACGACGAGTGATTCTCGACGCGGGCATGTCCGAGGCAAGAGGTATTTCTGATCTTCTTTTGAGTCGACTCAAAAGCATCTTCTCTTATCTTCATGCGCGAAACTAAGACGAGGGAGATAGTTTCCTCATGCCCGCGTCGCTCCGCCATGGCTCCACGTTCGTTCCGTTCGCTCCCTCTCCGCGCTTCCGCGGCGGCATTTCCGCAACGGGCGCAGCTCTGACTGCGGCAGGGTGCGTCCTCGTTGTAATCAGCCTCACTTACGCAACTATAATCTGGCCAAACGCCTTCGCTCGTAACCCTTTGCTACTACCGCCAGAAGGATTGACTGGTCAAATCATCCCTGCGAAAGAGCCCGTGACATACACAACTGCTGAGGAGAGTGGTGAAAGGGCAGGTGAAGGGGCAGGTGAAGGGGCAGGTGAAGAGGCAGGTGAAGGGGCAGGTGAAGGGGCAGGTGAAGGGGCAGGTGAAGGGGCAGGTGAAGGGGCAGGTGAAGGAGCAGAGGAAGGGGCAGAGGAAGGAGCAGAGGAAGGAGCAGAGAAAGGGGCTGAGGAAGGATCAGGGGAGAGAGCAGGGGAAGGAGCAGATGGGGCTGGAGCGGAAATCGAACCAGACATCTCATCCATTGATGACAGCTCAGCAACATCTCCACCGTCCAGTCCCACCACAGCAGAGGCCATCCGGAGCATCATCGGCCAATGGGATCGCATCCCGGGATCCGTTCTGTCCACGTCAGCACAGATCCAATTCTTCAAGGAACGTTTCGCTTGCATCAGCAGGAACGGACGGTGGAGATTCAACGCCACGCCGCGCCTGCTGCCGTGGCCGGGCGAGATGAGTCCGTGCGATGAGAGGCACGTGGAGGCTGAGGGTGGCGTGGCGATGGGTGACGCCGATAGGGTTGTGGAGGAGGGCCAGAGAGAGGGAGAATGGAAGGTGAGAGAAGGGCTCAAGTATGAGTGGAGGGTGGTTGGACAGGCAGGGGAGGAGGGAGAGGGTAGCAACAGCAGCAGCAGAATCAGCGGCAGCGGTGGCGGCGGCAGCAGCAGCAGCAGCAGCGACAATGATGGCAGCAGATACCCTCCCACCAATGGTAGCGCAGCTAATGTGAGCGAGCTCCGCATCGGCGAAAGCCCGAGTGCACCTGGTTCAAGTGGTGGAGGGGGCAGCCGCCCCAGCGCGGGGCAGTGCGGGCGGTGGGAGCAGTTTTCGGGTGAGGCATTGTGCCGGGTGGTGGCGGGGAGGAGCGTGATGGTGGTGGGGGACTCGCTCAACTGCCAGCTGGCTCACGCGCTGCGCTACAACGTGCGCGTGGGGGCTCAGGACCGTGCGTCTCGGGTGCGGCGGGGGCGCACCACACTGTTCTGCCGGCGGCTGAGAGGCGCGTCCAACTCCCTGTGGCAGTCACTGCAGCGCTGCTGGACTGCCGTGCTGTGCGGGGATGTGCAGGGGAGTGCGGGTGGGGCCTTGGAGGAAGGGAGGGATGTGCAGGGGAGGGCGGCTGGGGGCTTGGAGGGGAGGGGGGATGGGGATGTGGAGGCAAGAGGAGACAGCAGCACCGGAGGTGGGGGGGATAAGCCGGGTTCCTCGTTGGCGTTCAACCTGTTCTTTGTGCGCGACGACTACCTGCTCTCGCCCTCACGCCGAAACCACTGGCTGAACAAGCGCCTCCAGGGCTCGTGGGTGGACGACCTGCGCGGTGAAAACGTCTCTATACTCATTGTGAACCGCGGGGCGCACTTCACGCGGCACGAGAAGTTTGAGCTGGAGTTCTCGGGGATATTGGCTTGGCTGAGAGACCAGTTCCCGGACCTGCTGATTTTGGTCCGGGGAACGCCGGCCGGGCACTGGAACTGCATGCAGTATGACCGTCCTATGGAGCCGACAGCTGAGAAGGATAATCATGGTGGTAGGAATAATAATATTGGTGGGACTTATAAGGGTGTTGGGCGTGTACCGGTGAATAAGTACAACTGGGAGAAGTTGGCATACCAGAATGAGGTTGCGAGGAGAGTGGCGGATGCGGTGGGCGCTGTGTACATGGATGTAGTGACTATGACGGAGCTCAGGCCGGATTCACATAAGGGGGCTAAGGATTGCCTTCATTATTGTCACCCTGGGCCGATTGACGGCTGGGTGCAGCTGTTGTACAATATGTTGCTGGACCTACTTCCTCCTGTACAGTGATGTTTTTATTCCTGACTCCTGGCTTCGTTGTTGTCAAACATTTTGTGTATATGTCTTTAAGGCTAGATAGGTGTGACTCCTAGAGGGTACAACCCCTTAGACAAAACCACCTTGTTTGCCTCATTCTAGTCATTCATTCTAACTTTGACATGGTACCACGCTAGGTTAGGTGCCCCCCGCCCACCCGCGCTTCCACCTTAGGCCTAGTCCTAGCCGCCCGTTCCAAGCCGCACGTTGCTAGCCGCCCGTAGCTCCGCGCCCGCTGGCCCCGAGTTCGCCGGCCCCGCGCCTCTAGCCCCGCATTCACCAGCCCCGCACCTGCTGGCACCGAGCTCGCCAGCCCCATGCCTGCTGGCCCCGCGCTCGCTAGCCCCTCGCCCGCCAGCCCAGCGCCTGTCGGCCCCGCGCTCGCCAGCCCCCCACCCACTGGCTCCGTGCCTGCTGGCCCCGCTCCCGCTCCCCCGCGCTCGCTGGCCCCACTTTCGCCAGCCCAGCTCCCGCCAGCCCCGTGCCCGCCAGCTCCGTGCCCGCCAGCCCGGCGCCCGCTGGCCCCGCATTCGCCAGCCCCGCGCCCGCCAGCCCTGTTCCCGTCGGCCCCGCGCTCGCCAGCCCCGCGCTCGCTGGCCCCGTGCCTGCTGGCCCTGCACCCGCTCACCCGCGCTCGCTGGCCCCGCTTTCGCCAGCCCCGCGCCCGCCAGTCCCGTGCCCGCCAGCCCCCTGCCCGCCAGCCCCACGCCCACTGGCCCCGCGTTCGCCAGCTCCGCGCCCGCCAGCCCCGTGCCTGTCGGCCCTGCGCTCGCCAGCCCGCATTCGCTGGCCCCGCACCTGCCGGCCCTGCACCCGCCCGCCCGCCCCGCGCCTACTGGCCCCGACTTCGCCAGCTTCTATCCTCTGGCCCCTGCGCTCGCCAGCTCCGCACCCGCTGGCCCGTGCCGCAGTGTAGAGCCGTCGTGCCGCCGTGCCGCCTTGCCGCAGTACCGCCGTGTCGTCGTGCCGCTGTACCGCCGTGCCGCCGTGGCGCCGTGGCGCCGTGGAGCCGCGCCGCCGTCGTGCCGTGCCGCCGTGCCGCAGTGCCGCGGTTCTGCCGTGCCGCTGCGTCGCCGTGCCGTCATACTGCCGTGTAGCTGAACTCGTGGGATGGCGGACGCTGTGCACCACCTAGACGCGGAGGGGCGGGCGATCAGATTCGAGGCGTGGCTCGTCGACCTTCGCCGTCACCTTACAGGTCAGCGCCAGGACGGTCACTCCCTGGCTGTTCATGCCGATGGCCTGCTTCCCCGCCCCGCTATGCCTGTTCCACTCCCCAACGCCCCCACCACTGTTGAGTGTGAGGCCTTTTCCGCTGCTGCGCTTGCTCGCGCTGTCTAGGAGTCGCGCGACGCCATTGCGCAGCTTGCTATTAGTCACGCACTTTCCCTATCTGAGCGTCCCTGCTTGACCACTGTAGCGAACGCCAAGGAATTCTTATATGTAGTCATCACACACTATTCCAACCCCGCCTCAGCCTCTGCTGGCCGCCTGATCCTTTCCATGTTGTTCCCTAATCTTACGTCCTTCCCCACTGTTGCCGATCTTGCCACTCACCTCCGCGCACTTGAGACTAGCTACCGCGCCGCTAGCACTGAGGCTCAGCTCACTGCCTTTCCGCCGCCGCTCTGCGCTACCCTTTACCTCATTGGCACGCGCCTTTCTGACCGCCTAGCCTCTGCCCTCGACCACTTCCTTAGTCAGCACCCAAGTGACCTCACCCTCCCCGCCTTTGTCACCGCCCTGTCTGCGATAGAGACCCGTCACCGCACTATCGCTCTGTCTAGCGGTACTGCGCCGGTCCCTATCTTTGAGGGCGGTGCTCCCTCCCAGTGCTCTTACTCTGAAGTCTCTGCCGCTGTTGCTGAGACAGCCGCTGCGGCCTCAGTGCAGTCACGTCCGGGTAGGGGCCGCCGCCCCAAGGGGGGGCATGGCAGAGGGAAGGGGGGTGGGGGTGGGGAGGGTGGAGGAGGTGGGGGCGAGGATGGTGGTTCAGACGAGGGGATCAAGGCAGGTGCCCCGGAGCAGCAGCCGCAGCCTCAGCAGCAGCAGCAGTCGCTATGGGTACCCCCGCCGCCGTGGTGGACTGGCGGCGTTGGTGGCAGTGGTCGTGGTGGTGGGGGGCACACCTCCGTGTCGGGTGGTGACTCCAGTGCGGTCACCTGTCAGTACCACCTTCAGACTGGCCCCCGCCGCGGCACCGTCTGTGACCGTTCCGGCCACACTGCCGCCCGCTGATACCGCCGCCTGGACGACCTCTTCCATCACCGCTTCGGTCCCACGTCGGACCCTCCTGACTGGTACGCCCTGGATCGCTGCCGTGTGCCTGTCTTTTAGCTTGACATGGATCAGTTTAGAACTGCTATGTCTGTCATATTTGCTTATCACTCTAGTGTGATTGGACCCAATTGTACTGGTGTTGAGGAGAGTGCTAGTCCTAGGGTTACTGACGTGGCTTGTCCGAGCGGTCTCGGGGGTGGCACCGGTAATGGAGAGGGTTCTTGTTCTGGGGGTGCTAGAGTGGAGCATTCCAAAGGTAGCCATGGTGCAGCTAGAGGTTCGGGTGTCGGTGTGGCGCAGCAGCAGCAGTCGCAGCCGGTGTCCGCCCTTCGCCTCCTCAGTCTTCCCTCCCCTGACCGCCCGCCTGTGCCTCCCACGCTGTCGCCTCCCATGCCTGTCTACGGCCCTATGTTTCCTCCGCCGGACTCGTCTCCGGCTCGATTTCCCCCTCGTTCCCTTCCTGTGTCTCCTCCTCTGTCTCCTGACCCGACGCCTCCGTCTCACGTCTAGTCTCATCGCCCCTCCCGTGCTCGTCCTGTTTCTCGTGTTCAGTGCTCTCACGCTATGTTGCTTCGTTCCCACGCGTCTCGTCCTTCCCTCTTCCTGTCGCCTCCTCCATCGTCACTTTTTGTCGCATCGCCTCCTCTGTCTGACTTCCTTCGTGCCGCTAGTCCTCTTCTTCCTCGGGTCCTTGCCTCCATTGTTACGCGCCCGTCTGTTCCTGTCTCGAGTCTTGACGCGCTTGTCGCTGCCGTTGCTGACTTCTTTTATACCTTCGCCCCGACCCCAAAGATGACTACTCTTCAAGCGCTGTTACACTTAGCCGCATAGCATGACAACGAGTTGCACTCTCTCGACTTCTCGACAACGTTTCTTCAGGGCAGTCTGCACGAGTAGGTCTACCTGCGTCGCCTGCCGGGCTTCACTGGCACCTTTGCCCTGGGGACAAAGTGGCTCCTCCGGCACCCGGTTTGGGGCCTGCGGCAGGCGCCACGCGAGTGGTATGACACACTTCATGCTAAGTTCTGCCCGTTATCTGCAGACCCCTCGCTCTTCGTTCGTTCTGGCCAGACCCCGTTCTACATCCTTGCCTTCGTAGACGGCCTGGTCTTTGCTATTGCAGATAGAGACTCACTGGCCTCCGTGAAGGCTGAGCTGCTGAGGAGACACACCTGCACTAACCTAGGAGAGCTGCACCGTTACCCTAGCCTGCAGATCTCCAGGGACTGAGCGGCGCGCAGCATCACTCTTACACAGTCACACTTGGTACGCCTGGTCCTTCAGAGGTTCGGTCTTCAGCTCGCTTCCGCATAGCCCACACCTCTGCCCGTAGATCACATGCTTTCGGCTCCAGTCCCTAAAAGAGTCTGTAGAGCCTAGTGGTCCTAATGCAGGGCTGGTGGGTTGCCTCATGTACCTGATGAGTTGCACTCGTCCAGATCTCGCATACCCTCTCAGCATCCTGGTTAGCTTTGTGGCCACAGGAAGACACCGACCACAGCACTGGTCGGCCGCTAAGATGGTTTTGCGTTACCTAGCAAAAACATCGGGCATGGGGCTAGTGCTAGGAGGACACAGGCAAGCGGTCCTTACAAGGAACACAGACGCTTTGTGGGTAGACGACGCTGAGATGCTCAGGTCCTCCCAGGGCTACTGCAGGCGCCGTCTCGTGGCGGTCCACCCGTTCGTTTTCTGTTGCCCAGTCTAGCTGTGAGGCTGAGATCTACGCCGGTGCCATGGCGGCATAGGAGCTCCGCTGGCTGACTTTCTTGTTCACAGACTTAGGTGAGCGGCCTAGCTCTGCCCCGGTACTATACGCTGACAACGGGGCCATGATCCTCCTGTGTCAGGAGCCTCGACTAGAGGGCAGAGCGAAGCACATCCAGCAGCGGTACTTCCTCCCATGCGAGCTACAGCAGCGGCGCCAGGCCCGCGTAGTACACTTGGCCTCAGGTGCCAACACAGCTGATATCTTTACGAAGGCACTTACGCCTAAAGATCATCAGCGGCACTGTGTACAGCTTGGTCTAGTTCCTGTAGCTTCTCACGTGCTAGGACGTTGATTGTGTACTACCTTTATATTATCTTGACTGTCCTTGTGGCTCTTGTCCCAGTGGCTGGACTAGTAGTACCGCCCTGGCTTGCTCTTGTTTTGTTTGTACTCTTGCTGACTAGTCTTCGGACCCCTACCTCAGAGGTTGGACTAGTAGTGCCACCTTGAGCTGTGTGTCTCTTGCCAGGCACTTCCCCTCATCTAGCCTCGGGGGTGTGTTAAACATATTGTGGATATATCTTATAGGCTAGATAGGTGCGTACTCTTAGAGGTCACAACCCCTTAGACGAAACCATCTTGTTGCCTCATTCTAGTTATTCATTCTAACTTTGACTATTGTCAACCTGGGCTGATGGTAGACGGGTGTCAGCAGTTGTTGTATGTTGCTCGGCCTTCTTCCTCATGTTCAGCGATGTTTTTATTATCGAACCCCCCTTCAACGGTTTGATTAAGAGAAGCCTCCTCAAGGAGTCTGCAGAGCAGTTGTCATTGGATTATAGGTCTCAATACACACAGCACACTAGATTGCATTGCAAGATACATAACGTAGGCTACGGTATAATAGGTAGCCTAGGCTAATAAACTAGTAATTTATGCTAACATGGGTTGCTACTGTAATAAGAGGTACTGAAAATGGGAGGGAGGGAGGAGTTCTAGATTGGGATCTAGAAATGAATGGATTAGGTGGCCGGTCTGTGGAC